ACAAAGTGGAACTTTCACAGTGTTTATAAAGACATAAGTTAAATAATGAGAAGAGTTCGTAAAGCGCTTATTATGTAACTTTGCGACCAGTGTTCGTAAAGTGCTCAGAAAATTTACCGTGGTTCGTAAAGTGCTAAATAAATAGATAAAAGGTATTATGATAAAACGTATTAATCTGCCAATCATGTGAAGGTGAGTGTTATAGTAGACAGGTCGGAAAGACTGGGGAATAAATCTCTCTCTCTCTCATTCTCAGTCTCTCTCTCTGTCTCTCCTCTTTTTCTCTCTCTCTTTCTCTCTCTCTCTCCCTCTTCAAATTGAAATCTCCATCCTCTCATTCTCTCTCTACTTTCCTCTCTCTCTCTTTCTCTCTCTTTCTCTCGTCACTCTTTCCTCTCTCTCTCTCTGCTCTTTTCTCTCTTTCACGTTCCCCTTTCTCCCAACTCTTTCGCTGCCTCGATATATGTACAAATACATCTCTCCCACTCGCATCTCTCTTCCGAGCATTGGCCTGAGCGGGCCTTCTTTCTCTAATGGTTCCGGGCTACCCCCCTCCTCACCCCCCCTCGTCTCTCCTCTCCGCATCCCCTCCTCTTCCCTCCCTGCCTCCTCTCGTTCCTTTTCTCCCATTCGTCGTTTTCCCCCCCCTCCCCCCCCCTCGTCCCCCTATCTTTCTCTTTGACCAAGTGTCTTTTTCTCTTTCTATTTCCCTCTATACTCTATTCCCTCATCTCCCTCTTTCTCTTGTCCGTTTGTCTCTCTCTCTCTTCCTCTCTTTCTCCTTTTCCCACTCCCAATCTTCTCTTGCCCTTCTTCTCTAATACCTCCCTTCTTTTCTCTTCCTCTCCTTTCTCATCTTTTCTGTCTCCATCTTTCTCTCCTTTCTTTTTCTTTCTCTCTCTCCTTTTTCTTCTCATTCTTTCTCTCGTCTCATCTCTTCTCTCTTTCTCTCTCTCTCCTCCAACTCTCTCTCTCCCTCTCTCTCCTACTTTCTCCTTTCTCTTTCTCTTTTTTTTCCCCCCCCTCTTTTTCCCCGCTTTCCCTCTTCTTCCATTCCTCTCATCAATCTCTCTCCTCTCTCTCTCTCCCTCATCTCTCACGTCTCTCTTCTCTCTCTCCCTTCCATCTCCATTCTCTCTCTCGTGCTCTCTCTCTCTCTCTCTCTCTCATTCTCTCCTCTAGCGCTCTATCTCTCTCTGTATCGATGTCCTCTGTCTCTCTTACATCTGTCTCTCTGTACTGTCTGCTCTGTCTCTCTGTAATCTGTCTCATCTCTGTCTCTGTCTCTCTGTCATCTGTCCCTCTCTAGTCTCGTCTCTCTGTCTCTGTCACTCATCTCTCTCTCCTGTCTCTCTCTGCGTCTCTCTCTCTTCTCTGTCATCATCTCTCTGTCTCCTCTCCACCATTTCAGCTCGCTAACTCTCTCTCTGACTCTCTCTGTCCTCTCTCTCTCATGTCTCTTATCTTCTTCTCTCTGTCTCTCTCTCTCTGTCCTCTCTCTGTCTCCTCTCTGTCTCTCTCTCTCTGTCTCTGTCTTCTGTCTCTAGTCTCCTCTCTGTCTCTCTGTCTCAGTCTCTGGTTCTCTGTCTCTCCATCTCTCTCTCGCGATCTCTCGTCGCCCATCCATCTCAGTCTCACATCCGCATCTCCACATCCTCTTACGTCTCTCTTCATCCTCTCCGATCTCCATTCCATCGTCCTCTTTGATTATCTCTACTCTCTGGACTCTTCTCCCGCAGGTCTCTTACTCTCATCGCTTCGGTCCATCTGTATTCGTCTCTCTCCTCTCTCACTCATGACCACAACAGACACACACACCCACCCACAACACACACCACACACACACAAAACCACACACACAAAGATGACGTTGTCTAGTGTACAGTGGTTGATTAGCAAGCGCACCAACTCCACACTGATTGTCCCGTATTGTATTCGATCCCCGGCCGGGAGGAAACGTTGGGTAATGATATCTTTACACTGGATGCCTTCGCTCGCCTACTGTATTGTAGGTCCCTTGAGTGTTAGTCGGCTGTTGTGTGTGGCACCTGGGGGATGGTAGTGTAAACTCAGACTAGTGCTGGGCATTGAATGAAGCCGAGGTTGGATAACTGCTCTTGCATGTGAAAGCTGCTCTGTGTAGAAAAAAAGTAAGCTGGATAGGAGTATGACCAGGATGCTATTGAATGGGGGGGGTGAGGGGTGCTGAAGGGTATAACTGGATGCCGTTGAAGGAGTGGGTTGAGCTGAAGGATACATCAGATGCTTATTGAAGAGGGATGTGGAAGGGTATATCTAGGATGCTTGAAGGGGGATGCTGAATGGATACATCTAGGATGGCTTTTAGAGGAGGGATTGCTGAAGGGAACATCTAGAGATGCGTGAAGTGGGGTGCTGAAGGGTATATCTGGGAAGCTTGAAGAGGGGTCTGAGAAGGGTATACTAGATGTTTGAAGGTGGGGTGCTGAAAGGGTATATCCTAGGATGTCTTGGAAAGGGGGGGAGCTTGAAGGGTATATCTATGATCTTGAAGGGGGGTTGGCTGAAGGTATATATCAAAGATGCTTGAAGGGGGATGCTGAAGGGATATAATTCTAGGAATGCTTGAAGGGGAATGCTGAAGGATACATCTAGGATGCTTTATGGAGGGAACTGAAGGGTATACTAGGATGCTTGAAGGGGGGTGCTTGAGGGTATACTGGGATTCTGAAGGGGGGTTGACTGAAGGATTATGTCAAACTAGATGTTTTAAAGGAGGGATGCTGAAGTATATCTAAGGATGCTTGAAGGGGATGCTGAAAGGATACATCAAGGATGTGGCATTAAAGGAGATGCTGAAGGTAACATCTAGGATGCTTGAAGGGGGTTAGTGCTGGTTGACTGCAGGAGTATCTGGGATGCTTGAAGGGGGGTTGAGCTGAGGATACAACTAGATGCTTTAAGGATGGATGCTGGAAAGGTATATCTAGGATGCTATGAAGGGGGTGCTGATAGGGTAATCTAGGATTGCTTAAGAGGGGTGCTGGAAGGGGTAGTATTCTAGAATGCTTGGAAGGGGGGCACTGAAGGGGCGTGGGGGGATTGGGGGGTGTGGGGGGGGGGGGGGGGGGGTAGGGGGAATATTTTCTAGGAAGGCTTGAAGGGGGGTGCTGAAGAGGTATCTGGGAATGCTTGAAGGGATGCTGCAAAGGTAATATCTAAAATCTGAAGGGTTGCTGAAGGAAATAACTGGGATGTTTGAAGGGGATGCTGAAAGGTTAAAATCTGGGGTTCTTGAAGAGGGGTGCAGCTTGAATTGAGGGTATATATGGGATCGCGCTTGAAGGGGGTGCATGAAGGGCATACCCTGGGATGCCTTGAAGGGGGTGCTGAGGGGTATACCTGGGATGCTTGAAGGTGGGTGCTGAAGGCTATAACATAGGATGCTTTAAGGGGGTGCTTGAAGGTATATCTGGATTTTGAAGGGAGGTGCTGAAGGGTATATCTGGGATGCTTTGAAGGTGGGCAAAGGGTGCATCTGGGATGCTTGAGAGTGGGTCTGAGGAGTAAATAAACTGGGGATGCTTTAAAGGGGTCCTGAAGGGAATAAACCTGGACTGCCTGAAGGGGGCAAAGGGTATATCTGGGATGCTTGAAGTGGGCAAAGGTATATCTGGGATGCATGAAGGGGGGTGCTGAAGGGTATATCTGGAATTCTTGAAAGGGGGTGCTGAAGGTGTATATGGGATGCTGAAGGTTATCTAGGATATTTTAAAGGGGGCGAAGGGTATTTCTGCGTTGCTTGAAAAGATGGGAGCTGAAGGAGTAATATCTCAGATGAATGAAGGGGGGTGCTTGCTGAAGGGTATTAACTGGATTGCTTGAAGGAGGGGGCGAAAGAGTATAGTCTGGATACTGAAAGAGGGGTGCTGAGGAATATCTGGGATGCTTCGAAGGGGATGCCGAGGATAAATCCTGGAATGCTACAAGGGAGTTGTGAAGGGATTATATCTGGGATGCTGAAGCGGGGAGGGAAGATGCCTGTAGGTAACTCTTGATCTTGAATGGGGATATAGGTGGTAGCTTGAAGGGTAAACTGGGATGATTGAAATTGGAGCTGAAAATGTATAACGGATACTTGCCAATGGTGAGAGTAAAGGTTAAAACGAAAGCTACTTTAAGACAGGTGTGAAGAGTATAGCATAGGATTCTTGCCGGTGTTGGGTGAAAGGTATAACAGGTACAGCCCTTCGTGTATTAATAAGTACGGTGTTTACTTTGTTGCAGGTAAAGTGAAGGTACTACACCTTTCGTGGGACAGATGACACACCAGCAGTAAAGGTCAAATGCACAATTTTACTCACTTGTCATTAATATTGTTTTTATCAACCGGTTAACGAATTACAGAACAAGGATTAGAAATAGTAGATTTAATCTAGGATCTATTAGGATACACACTCTTCTAGTTCGTTTACGTGGGTCCCACGAATACCTAAGGAGTAGAGCCATGTGCCGTGGGTCCATAGGTCTCAACCGAGGGTTCCAAATCCTCAGGGATAACGTTTTTTCTTTCGTCCCAGAGTGAAACGTGTACTCCAATTATACTCGTATCCTTGCCTGGGCCAAGCTAGGCTTTTACACTTTATTATAAATAAAAGAATTATATTTTAACTTCCCCTGTGATAAGTGACTCACCTTCCATTCGTTCTCAAACCTGGATGGCGAAACGTCTACATTAAAGATACCCAGATGTTGTATATATGTCTAATTTTCTTCATTTACATCATTAATGACAACATACTGGTGCTTGCTGCTTAGGTAAGAGCGAATGAAATAAAAGGAATTTCTTAGGTTTAAGTTCCCTCAAGGGAGGTTCCTTGATGCTGGTGAGGGGCTCTTGATCTAGGGAATTGGATTTGTGCTCCAGTTCCCTGAACTGAGCCTGAATACCTTCCATACCCCTCCCCCCACAGGTGCTGTAAAGTCCCTACGGGATTATAAATATTATTACTATTATTAAGTAAAAAACGGCAATATATGGACACAAATATCTGGCCTTTATTAAAATAACTCGTACAATAAAACAAATATTACATATGTGCACTGAATCGAGAATGGCATCGAGATAGAGATTTTTTTTAATGGTAACGAAGGAATAGGCGAGTAAAATCTATTTTCCTTTCGGTGGTAGGTAGCCTGTACTGACAGACCCTCCGAATCCACCGCCTCCACCACCTCCAGACGAACCTCCGGAATATCCGCCTCCGGAACCTCCTGAGAATCCACCACCGGAACCTCCGGAATATCCGCCTCCAGAACCTCCTGAGAATCCACCACCGGAACCTCCGGAATATCCACCTCCAGATGAACCTCCTGAGAATCCACCACCTCCAGATGAACCTCCGGAATATCCGCCTCCAGAACCTCCTGAGAATCCACCACCTCCAGATGAACCTCCGGAATATCCGCCTCCAGAACCTCCTGAGAATCCACCACTGGAACCTCCGGAATATCCGCCTCCGGAACCTCCTGAGAATCCACCACTGGAACCTCCGGAATATCCGCCTCCGGAACCTCCAGAGAATCCACCACTGGAACCTCCGGAATATCCGCCTCCGGAACCTCCTGAGAATCCACCAGTGGAACCTCCGGAATATCCGCCTCCGGAACCTCCTGAGAATCCACCACCGGAACCTCCAGAATATCCGCCTCCGGAACCTCCTGAGAATCCACCACCGGAACCTCCGGAATACCCACCTCCAGAACCTCCGCTTATGATTCCTCCTGAACCTCCAGAGTAACCACCACCTAATCCTCCAGAACCTCCAGAGATGAACCCTCCTCCTGAGCCGCCGGAATATCCTCCTGATCCTCCACCTGAGCCGCCAGAGTAGCCTCCTGATCCTCCTGATCCTCCACCTGAACCGCCAGAGTAGCCTCCTGATCCTCCACCTGAACCGCCAGAGTAGCCTCCTGATCCTCCACCTGAACCGCCAGAGTAGCCTCCTGATCCTCCAAAGAATCCTCCTGATCCTCCACCTGAACCGCCAGAGTAGCCTCCTGATCCTCCACCTGAACCGCCAGAGTAGCCTCCTGATCCTCCACCTGAACCGCCGGTGTAGCCTCCTGATCCTCCAAATGAACCACCGCCTCCTGATCCTCCAAATGATCCTCCACCTCCACTGTAGCCGCCGCCTCCACCGCCTCCACCTCCTCCTCCACCTCCACTGATGATCCCGGCAGAGGCTACGCCGGCCAGCAGTACCAGCACTAATATCGATATTTTCTGGAAGAAAAAAATAGTTTTCAGTCTCTCTCTCTCTCTCTCTCTCTCTCTCTCTCTCTCTCTCTCTCTCTCCTCTCTCTCTCTCTCTCTCTCTCTCTCTCTCTCTTCAAGTAAATAAATTAAGTAAATTCATCATTATGTGGTGTCGTGGCTGAGGAAAATGTAAGTTCGACTCTACCTGGACGAAGAGTTGAGAGGGTTCGAATCGTCTGCTAGTCTGATTTGATATAATATAACTCAAGACCTGGAATCAGTAGTTCTGTTGTAACACATACTATCAGTACGAGGGATACAATTTTGTGATTGGCAACTACAACTACTTGTTCTATTGCTATTATGACGCTTTTCAAGGAGGGTATCTTGGTAACAGATTCTTAGTGAAAAAGATTGAAGTTTACCTCTTGCTTCAAGCCTGTTTACATCCTAGTTCCCGGGTGGTGCAACACACACACACTACTAGTACTACTACTGACTACTGCTACTAGTACTACAAGTATTACTAGTAGTACTAGTAATAATACTGCTACTAGAGCTACTACTAGTAGTACTACTAGTAGTACTGCTACCAGTACTAATAGTAATACCACTAGTAGTATTGCTACTAGTGCTACTACTAGTACTACTGCAACTAGTACTACTACTGCTACCAGTACTATTAATAGCAATACTACTAGTAGTACTAGTACTACTACTAGTACTACTGCCACTAGTACTAGTAGTACTACTACCAATACTAATACTACTAATAGTAATACTACTAGTAATACTAGTGCTACTACTAGTGCTACTGCAACTAGTACTACTACTAGTAGTACTACTGCTACCAATATTAATAGTAATACTACTAGTAGTACTAGTGCTACTACAAGTACTACTGCCACTAGTACTACTACTACTAGCAGTACTACTACTTTTTATTCGTATTAAGAAAATCTAAATTAGTGTAAAACAAAAAATTACAAAAAACTGATTTAATAAAGACATCAACAAAAGTCAGCTGAGAGGTCTTCAACACTGGACATTTAAATTGCAAGGAACTGTATACAAGAGTTTGAAAAAATATTTGAGTAGCGATAATTATACATTTTGCTAAAGACACGACTATAATTATTCTGGAAGAGGGTGTGACAGACAAGCTATAATTAACGATGACTGGAATCCCTGACTGCTAGATACCCAAATAGATGTATTTCGGAGTATTTATACTCAGCAATGTCTATCAGAGCAAATACCCCTTGATGCTGGTGAGGGGGCTCTTGATCTAGGGAATTGGATCTGTGCTTCGGTTCCCTGAATTGAGTCTAAATGCCGTCCATCAAACAGGCGCTGTATAATCACTACGGGTTTAGCGCTCCCCATAATGCGAGCACATACACACAGGTGTTTTTCTATGTGTTTCAACCGATGTTTACATCAATAGGTGTGTTTTTTCTCAATGTATGTAGAGAGATGTATATATCAGTGTATTTACACTTAGAAGTGTATATATCTATACATATATACTGATAAAGGTATACCTGTCGGTGTATATACATCGAGAGGTCAGTATCTCAGTGTATTTAGAGAGTGGCAGTTTGATTTGATCCCTTTTGTAGGAATACAATGTTCTTAACTGGTGACGAACATATTTTCCAGTCTTAATGGACTCTCGTGCAGTCAAAGGAATACAAACCTAAAAAAATTATTAAAGTTTAGCACCATTGTGTCACTTCTTGACCTTCCCAGCTAAAGAGACGTGACAAGACATACAGAGAGATACCTGTCAGCACATACAGAGATACCTGTCAGCGCATACAGAGATACCTGTCAGCACATACAGAGATACGTGTCAGCACATACAGAGATACCTGTCAGCGCATACATGCCTGGAATCTTACTGTTACACCTAGTTCAGGTATTAAAGTATTCTTTACTGGCGGTGAACAGGTTACATGATGTCTTAATGATCCCCGAGTGGTCGGTATTCTTTAAGCTCCATAAACCCAGCAACTTGAAGAGGCGATGAGATGTATCGATAATGTACTTGTTCTAAGTCGTAATTAAAAGTGACTTTTTTGTACAAACTTCAATGTGACATTACAGAAGATACATGTTGAGAAATGTGTATTTCTCTGAGACTTTAATTTAGCCTTAAGAATGAAAAGTCGCATTACAGTTCCTAGCACGATTTACGATCCCACAGTTTGGAGAGTAAACTTTTGACGACCTTTCGGTCCATCCATTACTTAAAATAGACCGAAACGCTGTCTGCAGTTTTCTCTCCATATCCCGATATTAGGGACTGATGTTTTCACGACTAATGTACCAGCAAAATGCTCGAAATTCTCAGGCATTATTGTGGCGTTCTTTGTTCTCAAAATTTTTTAATAACATGTAAACCTCACATTGTATACTATGCAAAGAAATCAAACCATACCACTGGCGGGGTTAGAACCCGCGATCAGAGAGTTATAAAACTCCAGACCGACGCGTTAGCCACTGGGCCAGCGGCTAACGCGTCGGTCTGGAGTTTTATGACTCCCTGATCACGGGTTCTAACCCCACCCATGGTATGGTTTGTTTGCAATCGTTTCATTACGATTTCGTGAGTCAAAGAAATCAAGTTTGTTTTTGTATTGTATTAGTACGTGTTGTAGATATAGTTTAAACTTAGAAAACTAACAAAAAAAGAACAGGAGAGTTTGAGAAACCTCACCATGTTTGCAGGCGGTGTTCGACTGTGCCTCGGATCATCTTGCACCGTCTTATATACATCCAGCTGAGTCGTGAGAGCTCCAGGGATTGAGTTCGTGACCGTGCTAGCTCCATCGCTGGATACAGTCGAAAATCCTTCATTCTCGTATTAGCCCTTGAGACTTGTGAGGTTTTGCAGACCAAGGGAACATTGGTTCCATCTAATGAAGATGATGTGGAGGATGTACAAGGTCGTTTGTGTTTGTTTAACGTGGTGGGCTAACCGGCAGGAGTATACAGTGCTGTGTTGCGGTCATAATGTAACGTAATTTGATACTTGAGGCTGAAATTTTTCTCTCTCTTTCTATTTTTCTCTTTGTTTCTCTCTTTCTTTTTCTCTTTCTTTATCTCTTTCTCTGTTTTTTCTTTCTCTTTTTCTGTTTCTTTTTCTCTGCTCTTTCTCTTCTCTCTCTCTCTCCTCTCTTCTCTCTCACTCTTCTTTCTGTCTCTTCTTTCTCTTCTCTCTTCTCTCTCTCTCTCACACATTCACACAGCTTTAATAAGAGGTACGATAAGGCTCACAGAGCAGGGAGAGAGTGGACCTAGTAGCGACCAGCGGAGAGGCGGGGCCAAGAGCTATAACCACAATTAGGTGAGTACACACACATACACTAACAAATCTTAAATTTATTTAAGTTTCCCTTCATACGATGATAAGATGATACTAATCACTTACCAAGAATATTAGGCTGAACTTCAATAATACAAAAACAGTTTCTGGCAACAAAATAGAGTTGTGAAACGATTTTTTCCATATATATATATGTCGTGCCGAATAGGCAGAACTTGCGATCTTGGCTTAAATAGCAACGATCATCTTGCCATATAGGACAAGTGAAAATTTGTGTATGCAATAATTTCGCCAAAATCATTCTGAACCTAACGAAAAAAATATATTTGATTGTGTTTGTTTAGTACTAAATTATTGTTAACGTATTTAAAATATATTTAGTTGGGTTAGGCTAAAATAAATTGTTCTTGTTATAATAAGGTTAGGTAAGTTTTCTAAGATTCTTTTGGTGCAAAATTAAAATTTTTTACATTAACATTAATGGAAAAAATATATATTTAAACGCATAAAAAAAAATTTCAGAAAGGACTTAATTTTAAATGAGTTCTTGCTAATTGACCAGTTTTACATATTCGGCACGACATATATATATATACATATAATATATATATATATATATATATTATATATATATATATATATATATATATATATTATATATATTATTATATATATATATAATGTCGTGCCGAATATGTTAAAACTGGTCAATTAGCAAGAAAATCATTTAAAATTAAATCCTTTCTGAAATTTTATCTTATACCATTAAAGATATATTTTTTTCATTAATGTTGATGTAAAAATTTATAATTTTGCACCAAAAGAATCTTAGAACACTTACCTAACCTAATTATAACAAGAACAATTTATTTAGCCTAACCCAACTAAATATATTTTAGATTTGTTTACAATAATTTAATGCTAAACAAACACAGTGAAATATATTTTTTTCGTTAGGTTCAGAATGATTTTGGCGAAATTATTGCATACACAAATTTTCGCTTGTCCTATATGGCAAGATGAGCGTCGCTATTTAAGCCAAGATCGCAAGTTCTGCCTATTCGGCACGACATATATTTTTATTATATATATATATATATATTTTATATATATATATATATATATATATATATATAATGTTTCATACGTAAAGCAAGAACAGCGTACGTGTTATGCTTTCAGAAACATACACAGTTTTACAAAATTTTTTACATGTTGGTCATGACTTAGGTAAAAGTGTATGTATTCGCGTGAATGCGTCATCTCTATACAATTCTTTTTTTCGTAACATTGCTATCGACCCGGAAATTAGAAATTTAAGGAACCCGAGTGAACATTGTATTTCCCGTTGGTATTTGAATATAAGAGAAGAATACATTGTATTCTCTTTATCCAACAAGGACTTAAAATACTGTTCTTCTGACTTCACTAAGACGTAATCTATATTTCTTGGACAAATTTTATCAGAAAGTAATAGCAGATTGATTTAATTTAATCTCTTGGTATTCCATAAACAAATTGACCTGGAATGAACTGAAAGGATTTCCCTTTGTATTACTATAGGTTAAAATAGCATATTTTTTCCTGGACTCTGAAAATTTATTTATTTACTCTTCCTTCCCAAAAAAATTGGTTAGGCAGATTTTTGATACGTCTATTTTGTAGTTAAATCAGCCTAGTTTATCTAACCTTGCTAAAAATTCGCAATATTAAATACCTTAATCCAGTAATCTGAGTACATAACATTGTTTAAGCTATTATCCTTCTGGAAGCAAATTTTCCAGCAGATTTCTTAAACTGGGTCTACTTTCATGAAAAAAAAGTACTTCTCTCCCCGAACTCACTTGTCCTTTGAATTTTACTGTTCTTTGCCTCCCTACATTTCCAGCATTCACAATCTTACAACACTCTCTCTCCTCCTGGATATCAAACTTGCACTGCATCAAACTAATACTCTTCGAAGTAATTTTGTTCTAAATTCTCCTGTCACTGATGCTTCCAGTGTTTATTCCATTTCCTGCTTCTCTCGTCTTCTCCAATAATTTTCCGAAACTGGCTCCTGCTTTTCTGAAACACGTATAGAGCACCAATGAAGTGTCCGCCTTCCAGACACCATCAGTGCTCCTGTCTGTCATACCAAAGAACACAGCCATCCTGTTAACTGGTCTGCTGCTGAAGTTATGTACTTTTTTTCTCTCTCATCTTCAAAGATGCCGTTTATTTAATGAGGCCTTAACTTTTAGAAGATGAATCTTAGTCCTGACTTTGCTTCTGTGAATGCCTGCCTCTTCAATGCATTATCAAATCCTGTAATTTTCAGAACACTTGTAACCTGAGGCATTAAACACATGTACAACAACTGGCTGTCTATCTATATATGAAGTTTCGCCAAGCAGTGGTTTCAACAGTTCAGTGAAAAGATGACAGGCGAAGACAGTAGAAAATGAAGCAATCAGTCCCTCAGCCTGGAAGAAGGTGTTCATTAAGAGAAAGGTACTGAACACCGGCTTCCAAGCTGAGGGACTGCTCACCTCGTCTACGGTCTTCACCTATATTGAGCCACAAAGCCAATGCGTAGCGAAACGTCTTCAAATAAGGACACCCAGTTCCAGCACAGGTCCTTTTCCTCCTCTTCGCTTTTGATCTGTCTTCTGCATCTCCCGACTTTCCTCTTTCTTGCTTTCATTTCTTTCTTATCTTAGGCCAGTAGGCTTACTACAGTTCTTCTGTCCGCTTGGGAACAGGCGTTAGTGTTGAAATACTCTCCACTGACTTGAGATACAATTTATTTTCTATTACTGGTCCTGGAGTCGGTCAATAGATCTGTAGTGCTGCTCTGTTTTGCTCTTATGTGTTACTATCATTACTACTACTCATCTCTTCTTACCCTTCCCCTAGACCAGTGTCTTCTGACCTTCTCTACATTTTCTCGCCCCAGTTGTGACTTGACAATGCTGGTTATTTGTAAAAGACAATTGTAATGCGATCCAAACCTTGATACTCTTACGGTATCAGTGATTCAGCTCGTTATCCTGTTAGATCAGGGAATTCCTCACAATTTTTTTTTTAAATGCAAGGACTATGAAACAAGAAGTATTTTTAGATATTGCTATAGTATCACGTAACTGATCAGTGGGTAGGAACGCGCTACACACTTAAGGGTCACACAGCGCCTAGGGTATGGGTTGACTTTTTAAGTCAACAGGTTTAATTTAAGATTGGCGCCTTGTTTTTTTAATCAAGAGCCCTCGGCCAGCATCAAGGTTTCATTCCTTTATGAAGGAACTAAGATTAGAAGGGCAGTTCACTCTCTTTAAAACCCGTTGGTTTGTAAGAGTTCCCACACTTATTAGCAAGACAATAATCCTCAGCTGAATTTTTTGCTAACCATTTTGTAGTTACTAAGTTTACAAGAATATTAATGAAATTATTTTAGTATTATAGAAATATGCACAAAGGTAGTGAAAGCTGCCACAAGTCTGTGCTCTAGAAACTTCTCGCTGATATTCGCTGGGTAATGATTGAATTCAAATGGTTTCTGATTGCTCATCCCTTTGCACAAATCCAGTATGTAAGGTCTAAGTAAAAAATACATAATATGCAGAATAAGCAGTTTTTCCACCATGGAAAAACACTGGAAAAACTGATATGTCCACACCTCACCGTATGTGAGGTGTGGACATGTCATGCAGTGGTTGAGGCTGCTAGGACTGAGAATACAGTATTAAAACTTTAGGAGTATTCCCTATGACGTGTTATATTTTCTTAAATATGTTATCTAGAGAATTTATCAAATTTAGTTTTTTCTAGGTATCAGCCAACGAGTCAGGTGTTTTCAGTTATTTATTCAAAGTTTAATATGTTTAAATGGCTTGTTTTCTAAAAAGTTGATTTTTTAAATACTCCGAGTTTATTAATAGGAATTCCTGTGAATATTTTTTTTAATATTAATGTGAGTTGATAGTAGACATCCATGTGATGATTTTCTTCTAAACGCCTTCATTAGTTAGCTCAGTAAGTTACAGAAATGGCTCTAGATCTGAGATGTGTGTGCAGTACAAGCCATTACTAAGAAATTTCTCCGATGAGGAAAGGAGGGCCACGAAACTATATATGTTGTCCGCTTTCTTTCAGTTTTCAGCCACCACAGAGCAAAACTAGTATCTCCATTCCGTCTACATAGCTGATATTACATTGTAATGCCGATACATAGGTACAGGCGGCGCCGGAGCCCACAGTTCCGGCGACATCGTGTCGCTTCACCTATTTTTGTATACAAAGTCTCGTCGTTCTATTAAATGCATTTACTTGATGAAGCTCTTCTTAGAGGAATATATAAAGGTCCATATATAAAGGTTTGCGGTAAGGATGGTGTCTTATCGCTACACCTGTAAGTCCTG